ATTAAACGTACCCTCGCCATTTTTCCCCTCCCCTACAACGCCTCAACCCGCCCACTATTTTTCCCCAAACCCCTGACCCCTGAGGATGGGGTTTTAATCTTTTCCCATCCACTCTATCGAGCCCCCGCCAAACGAGCGCCACCCAAAAATCCTCCCTCCCCCCCCCTTTTTTTCCCGTCCCTAATCCCTCCCCTCCCCGCCCCCCCTCCCTTTTAACTCCCGCCCTACCACCCCAAAAGCCCTTTTTCCCTCCTTTCCTTTTTCCCTAAAAAGAAACCCCGGGAACCCAACTAAAAGCCCCCTCCCTTTGGGCCCAAAAAACAGGTTGTCTTCCACCCGCTCACCCTTCCCATGCAAAATCCTCCCAAAAATTATAATTTCCCCGGGGATAAAACTCTGCCCCATATCAAACCCCTTTGCCCTTTTCCTTCCCTTCCCCCCTTTCCCCTTGATTTTTCCCCCCTCCCCACATTTTAAAATGCATTAAATCCCCCCCCTTTCTAAACCCCCTTCTTTTTTCGATTTATAAATTTTCAGAAACCCCCCCTTTCCAGCTGTATACCTGCCCCTCCCTTTACCCTCCTATCATTTTCATTAACCTCCAACCATGGAATAGTCTTTCCTGCGTTTTTTTGTTTCTGCCTACGCAATAAACCCCCAGATAAGGTTTCGCCCCATAAACCCCAACCTTCCACCCCCCCCTGTACCCTCACCGCTTGGAACCTCTCATCCGTACCTCACGCAGCCTCCCTTTAAGCCATAATTTCGTCCATTGGATAAATGCCCCCACCGCCCCCCTCGCATAACAACCCCCCTAATCTATCCTCCAAATAGTTACAACCATATTTTAAAGAATTTAACGTTTCCCCCTTTTTTTAAAAGTAATAGCTTAAACCCCTTCTTTAGCCACCCATCCCACCCCTCACCCATCCCTACCCCCTTTTATCTCGCACGAACCCCCCAAGCGTTGCAAATCCCTCACCCTCCTCATCACCTAACCACTTGTATTAATTTCCAAATTTTCCCCCAATATACCTGCTAGTGACTCCCACCCACTCTGGTCTACCGCCCATCCGAAAACTACTTTTATTGTACGAAAAATTCAAACCCAAACCCCCTTTAGATATTACACCTACCAACCAGCAGCGAACCCCGTCTTACAAAAGTGTGCTCTACCCCCACGCCCCTCCCCCAACCGCATCCCCCAACGAATATCCCCCAAAAGAACCGCAAGGGCCCCCGACACTTTCCCCCCCCTTTTGGTTTTCCACTCCCCCTCCTAATAAAGCATTCCCCGTCGCCACCAACGCGGCCCCTGCAGGGAAACCCCGTAAAAAAAAAACATTTTTCCATACAAAAAACCCTTTTTACCCTCACATCATTTTTCCCCGGGGGCATACACACATACAAAAATACCCCGTCCCCTCCACCACCCTCCACGCGCAATACTTTCCCCCTCCCCCCCCCCCCCACTTCTTAGCAACACAAACGGGCTTCCTCCCTGCAATTACCCCACCACCTTTTAGAGTGCAGTGGCAGAGTCTTACCCGAAACCCCCCCCAGCACTCTTTCCCCCTTGAAATTGTTTCTTGCAGGAACCTACATCCACCCGTATTTATACAAAACATCGAAACCATCCTTTTTCACACTATTACCAGCCATTTACGTTCACAGTCAACCCTAAGGCCCTTTATAGTTCCAACCTTCCTCCCTCTTCTTTTTCCCAGGGCCTCCTGCCCCCAAACCAGCACAAAAAAAAAACTTTTACACCTCAACCCCCCCCCTTTTTTTTCGAGCCTTTATCGTGACTGCTTTGACGTTGCTCTTTCCCTTCCTCCCAGACCTCTCGCCGCGTCAGGACACATCTGAGTCTGACGCCGCCCCTCTCTTCCCCGTATCCCCCCATCCATGTTATCTTTAGAGGTTCCCTCCGATGAACCTCTACCTCCCCAGCCCCCCTTTCCACAGCACACGGCGACAACTCCTCTTATATTGGGGCCCTTTAACCCCGCAGTTTTTTACCTTTTTCCTTACAGGACCCCCCGGTCTCTCACCACTCAGGAACAACATCCTCTGCAGGGGGTTGTCAATGTCCTTAACACCCTAAGCCTTCTCTATAGCCTGCACCTCCCCTGCCTTGCACTTTTGTACTTTTTTTTTGGTAGTAACAGATCCTTTTTTCTCACAGCTTACCTCACACATGCCATTCTCCTCTTTGGAATCCTCCACCCCTTCACCCCCACAAGCGCCCAGCCCCTTTCTTGCGACTGGGCTCTCAAAAGCTATCACCTGGTAACTGGGGCTTACCATTTGCGCTGGCGCCCCCTCAGCTTCACGCCTCTGCCGCCCCATGGGCCCTACCCCCACATATTCTGCAGTACGTCTCGTCCGGCTACGATACCATAATTGCTCCTGAAGTCCTCCAAAAGACAAGCGGTATGGGGTTTTTCAGAGTCATCTTTAGGGAAAAGGTACCCTCCGACGTCCCCCTTAAGCACCGTGTCCACTTGCCTTTTGTGCCAATGTACGGTTCCCTATGTTCAAAAAAAACTCCTTATGTCAGCCCCATCTGCCCAAAAGGGACATTAGTATTTAACCACGTAAAGTGGCGAGATATCGATCAAAAGCACCTTCACAGCGGATGCGTCAAGACTACTCTTGGAACCCCCGTACAAAGACTCATACACGGCTGGAATTTAGTTTTACGAAGTTCTATAACCCCTTCGGGGAAAACCCTAACCTCATCGCCTGGTTCCATAGGTCTCCCTAATGATTTTTTGGGATTTAAAACTTGCACGAAGAGGGGAAATCGCCCCACAAACATCAATACCAATGGTATTTCGCGCCTCCCCCACTCACGCCAGTTTATAAAAGGAGCTCGCCTGAAAGAGAGGGGGGCGCGCACAACCTCACCGACCCTGGGCAGGCACGAATAAACATAGTCTAGGGAGAGACACAACTTTGTAGTAGCCACAGTCATTGCCTGGCTTCAAAAACCTTTATTGTACAGCAATAAAGGAATGGAACAGACTACCCGCACATGTCAAAGCCAGTCATAGCATGAACCAGTTCAAGAAGAGTGCCAAAAGGTATCTGATGAATGTAGCTACAGAAAGGGAGGGGAATGATTTTCTATTTTTTAGCTAACATACGTGTAAATTTTACCTTATTCCTAGTAATGACCCTCGTATTGTAGATAGTCTTAATGACCTTGGTGTAGTAGATAGTCTTAATGACCCTCGTATTGTAAATAGTCTTAATGACCCTCGTGTAGTAGATAGTCTTAATGACCCTCGTGTAGTAGATAGTCTTAATGACCTTGGTGTAGTAGATAGTCTTTTTAGTATGATAATAAGATGTTATCTTCATTGTAGAATAATAAGAAAATATTATAACCTTTATATTATAATAATAAGGTAAAAGGACCCCAATGGAAATAAGTCACTCTGTCTGACTTTTTTGGGTTATCCCAGGTTCTCTACACATATGCTGCTATGTATGATAATTCTATGTAACTGTATTTGTGTATACCTGAATAAACTTACTTACTTACTTACAGTCACAGGTCTTTTTGTGAAAAAAGTGTACGTATTGTCCGCAATATTTAAGCTGTAACTAAAGCATTTAATATAAATACAATTTTTGGTAACCTATTTTAAATAAAACCTAAATATTAAAATAATTAATTTTAATTCCTTTAAATATAAAATTACGTCAATACTTTTAATAATATTAATTTTCGAATTTAATTATAACTTCAATTCTTGAAGCGTTTTAATAAACATTATTAACTTTTAAAAACTTTACATAATAACTGCTGGTTGTTTAAAAGCTTTTTAATCTTTTCTTTATAAGAATTGTTTTCTGCTGCTCGTCAAACCAATCGAAACATTTCATTATTTTTCTAAATCCTGGTAATCATTTACTGGGATTAATAACGAGGTTATTACTGTAGTTAATTACTATAGTTATTAAGGTTGTAATTAAGGTGAAAATTAGTTGAGAATATTTCCTTCTGCGAATTTTATATAGTTTTCGTGTTACGTGAGGTAATTTTTTTTTTATATATTTTATTTAAAAGTTCATGTATAAATAAATATACATAGGTACATATAACAATATGTAACACTGACACTGGTGATGCAATAAACATTCACTACACAATCTACTGAATAAGCACGTACATAAGGACATTAAAATAAACTTAACACAACCTACAAACTGCTTCTACGTACATTGTTTCACAATTACACAATGGTTCATAGATATAATGGTACAAACTGCTTCTACGTACATTGTTTCACAAGTACACAATGGTTCATAGATATAATGGTACAAACTGCTTCTACGTACATTGTTTCACAAGTACACAATGGTTCATAGATATAATGGTACAAACTGCTTCTACGTACATTGTTTCACAAGTACACAATGGTCATAGATATAATGGTACAACTGCTTCTACGTACATTGTTTCACAAGTACACAATGGTTCATAGATATAATGGTACAAACTGCTTCTACGTACATTGTTTCACAAGTACACAATGGTTAAATAGATATAATGGTACAAACTGCTTCTACGTACATTGTTTCACAAGTACACAATGGTTCATAGATATAATGGTACAAACTGCTTCTACGTACATTGTTTCACAAGTACACAATGGTTCATAGATATAATGGTACCTACTCATTATTACTTACACTCCCCCCCCCCACCAATGAATACATTCCACTTCCCTTGTTCACTTAAAATTAACAAATAACTTGAACAAGGACAACATTTTAAGCCAGCCCGTAATGCTATGCATAGTATAAGTGGCTTTGGCATGCTGCTCTTATCTGTATTTTGTAAGTGTGCTCAAATTATAAATAAATAAATAAATAAATAAATAAACATCAATAACACAATATATAAACACAACAATCCAGGCAACATCTGACACTTGGATTCGCTGCTTGAGGGGCAGTTTGACCCACTTGAGCGCAGGTGCTGGGCCCGACCATCATTATGGAGACTTATGGTGTCCAGGACGATGATGTGTTGCCATGACAATATTCGTCGCTGTGGTAGTCTGGCCTCACGGATTGCTCAGCCTTCCTCCAGAGTTGCTAGGCATGGCAAAGCTCGGGGTATTAACAGATCACACTGTGATAGAGGGTATTCCAACGCTTCCAAGAAGCCGATGACGATGAATGACTTGCCACAACCACAAGGCTCCTGGGCCAAGCGCCATGAACGTATGCAGAAGAAATACAATTTGCAGTTGGCAGTAGGCCTTGGCTTTGCCGGGTTTACTCTTTTTGCAGCCAAACAGAGTGGGTTGGTTAATTTTTATTTTGGGCCTGGCAAATTAAAGTTTGGTAAGGGAGTCGAGTCAAAAGAGCAGGAGGCTGCTGCAGTTGAGGAGGAAACAATTACAGAGCCACCTGCAGATGTTGAATCTGAAGCATTACCAGAAACTCCAGTTGAAACACCACTTGCTGCTCCTATAGATACAGAATCTGCTGCTGCACCATCTGCCCCTGTTGATACAAAACCTGCTTCAGCACCACCTACCCCTGTTGAAGTGCCTGCAAAGCCTAAACAAGTTGAAGAAGCTGCTATTACTGAATCTTCAGCTGTTGTGTCTAAAAGCGAAGATGCCAAGTCTGCCTCAACTGCTAAGGAGTCTGCTGGGAAGGTATCTGACATTCCTGAACACGTTCCTTACTTAATTATTGGTGCTGGTACCTCTTCTGTTGCTGCTTTCAGAGCCATTAAAGCCAAGGATGCTAAGGCCAAGGTTCTGGTGATATCGGGAGAAGGTGAAAATCCCTATATGAGGCCACCTCTTAGCAAGGAATTATGGTACAGTGATGACATTGAAGCTACCAACAAATTACGTTTCAAGCAGTGGAATGGCAAAGAAAGAAGTATATACTTTGAGCATGAAGAGTACTACACCCCAGTTAAAGAGTTAGCAACAAGGGAGAATGGTGGCATCTCTATTGTAAAAGGTCGCAAAGTTGTGAAGCTGGATGTGCATAAGAAACGTGCCTTCATGGATGATAGGAGTGAAGTCTCATATGACAAGTGCCTTATTGCTACAGGTGGAACTCCTAAACCTCTGCCAGTATTTGATAATGCTGGAGAAGATGTACTGAAGAATGTAACTTTGTTCCGTTCTGTTAGCGACTTCCAGCGACTTCACAATGTGGCACAGCAAGGAAAACACATCACTATTATTGGAGGTGGTTTCTTAGGCTCAGAGCTGGCATGTGCTTTAGGTTATAAATTAAAGGCAACTAGTGGCTCGGTAACGCAGATATATCCCGAGGCAGGGAACATGGGTCGAGTCCTGCCTGAAATACCTCTCTAAATGGACTACAGAAAAAGTAAAGTCTGAAGGGATAGAAATTATCCCCAACTCATTTGTTGAGGAAGTCAAGTCAGCAAAAGATGAGAAAGTAAAACTCAAACTTAACACTGGAAAGGAGATTGTGACGGACCATGTTGTTGTAGCAGTTGGCCTCGAACCAAATGTGGAACTAGCACAGTCATCAGGCCTAGAAATTGATGACACACATGGAGGTTTCAGAGTCAATGCTGAGTTAGAAGCACGGTCTAATCTATGGGTGGCTGGAGATGCTGCCTGCTTCTTTGATATCAAGCTTGGTCGTCGGCGTGTTGAGCACCATGACCATGCCATTGTATCAGGAAGGTTAGCTGGCGAGAACATGACTGGCAGTGGTAAGCCATACTGGCATCAGTCCATGTTCTGGTCTGACTTAGGTCCAGAAGTAGGCTATGAAGCCATTGGCATTGTTGATTCATCGTTACCTACAGTTGGTGTTCTTGCCAAGGCCACTGCCAAAGACACACCTAAAGCTGTTGTGGAAGCAACTGGAGAAAGTTTAAGATCTGAAACAGAACAGGTTGCTGATACCAGTTCCTTGATGCACTCCAGTGATCCTCATGCACCTCTCAAGGGTGAAGACTATGGAAAGGGAATAATATTCTACCTGAGAGAGAACATTGTGGTAGGCATTGTCCTCTGGAATGTCTACAACTGGATGCCAATTGCCAGAAAGATTATTAAGGATGGTAAGAGTTATGATGACCTCAGTGAAGTTGCAAAGCTGTTCAATCTGCATTCAGAGTAGTATAAAGAATATTTTTCTTTAATTCCACATTTTTATCTGAATCAGATGTAAATGTTATGGGTGATATTGGATTACTGCAAAAATAAAGAATAGCATTTAGCCTTTGAAAATGTTGAATAAATGTACAGTACATACAAAAATTTATATGGGAATATGTAGCTATAAAAAGTAACCAGTGCTGTATGAGCCTTGTGGGTTTAGCACTTAGTTTTTATCACATCGACACCTTGCCTAACCCTTCTAGGGTAGGGTAGGTGCCTGAGCCCGAGCCTTTAGCTCATAAGACTGACATTCCCATTTGCCCCCTTGGGGCGGGGATGGCAGACCAGAGAGGCCTAGCTTGTGGCTAGGCCTGGGGACAGTTGGTCCCAAAAGATGAGGAGGTACTTGTGCCTCCTCCCATGGGAGACTTAGGTCTCAGACACTCCCTAAAGAGGGAGCCAAGGCCGGGCCACCACTTGGAAAAGGCCCGGGCCGGGAGAATACCGGCTAATCTTTAATAATAATAATAGTTTTTATCATAATAATAGGAAATTAATTTGGCTTATTTCCTGGTGAGACCACGGCTACTTTCCCACTGACTCTCAAAAACAGATCTTAAAGGAATTTGAGCTTTATTGTACCTCAGATGACAGTCATTTGGGACAATGGTAAATGTGCAAAGTAACTCTTAGGTAACACCTAATTGTATTTGTGGTCATAGTATATACCAAGGATTTGTTTAATGCTCTGCCAAATATAGATTCCTAAGTGTAATGCATTCGGAAGAAAAGTGAGGTAAGTAATTAAGATTTTCAAATAAAAAGGATGATGCATCAATGCTGTTTACAAAACTAACAAAATGTCATTTGTATTGCACATGAAAATTTAATTAGTTTTTGTTAAACTAATTCTTTGCTGGATGAGCATTAGTGGTGTAACACTTCAGCAAAGATGTACCAATAGTATTATGCATTTTTAACGTGTATTTTTTCATCTAGATTCATCAAAATATCTACCATAAATTGTGTCAAAAGTGTGGAAGATCAATACTTGGATACTGTAAATATAATATGTTGTAGATCATGAAGATATTCAGCTTTGTATATAATGTAAGTTGTACTAAATAAAAGATTAATGCTATAATAGTATAAAGTATTTGAAAAAAAAAAAAAAAATATTCGTCTCTTTTTTTATGTTATTTAAAACTCAGGTACAAAATTTATGGGTAAATAATCAATATGTAATAAGATACAGACAGTGAACAATAATCAACTGTAACTACACAAATACTGAAGAAGTATATATATATAATGATGTAAGAACTGGCTGCACAAAAATCAAACACTGCTTATATATACTGTGCTTCACGTGAAAAGATGGTCATATAAATAACGATAGAACCTACCCAGTAATGCTTACACTCCCCCCTCCCCCCCCTCGTGAAAAAGTGCCACTTTCAACTTAGTATACTCAGTGACAAATCTCTTATACATTTATAAGAGCATGAAGAACTTCATTGACAAAATATATAAATATAATTCAGTCAGCTAAACGGGTGACACTATAATACAAGGACAGTCTGAAAATCATGACTCACATCCGCCATACAACACAATCCTCACCATATTCGCTGCCTGACCACGGTAGTGTGCGGTAGTGCTCTGCACCCCTCTGTTGTTTGTAGGCGAGCGCCCTTGTCAGTTACCTGGCTGCAGTGGTGTGAAGTGGTGCTGTCACACCTCGGCTGACAACTTAGGTGCACTGTGATCGTCAGGATGGCGGTTAGTCTGAGACGAAGGATAAATACTGTAGGCATCGAGCTACTTAAAGGAACGATAACGCCCAGTTCTGCGCAAGTCTTATTGCCAAAGATCATACGGGAGACTTATGGAGTACAAGATAGTGACTTGTATGGTGTAGCATTGAACGGAGGACAACGAATTTTCGTCAAACTGCTATCAGCAACGGTTTATGAATCGTTAGTCACCAGGTTTCAGGACGTGAGTCCTTTAAAGTCACACCAGCTGTCACTGTAAGAATGATAGATGTTTCACGGTATTATACGTGGATCAAGTTACGCAACGTTCCCTTTGAGGCGGACGAGGCGGATATAAGGAAAGTTTTTGAGAAGTATGGGACGGTGCATTATGCTCAACATGGTACGTGGGCGGCAGGAGCCTATGCTGGTTTTCCAGAGGGTTCTTTCAACCTCAAAATGACTTTGAGGCACCCAATACCATCCTATGTGTACCTACAAGATTTCAGGACGCAGGTAATGGTAATGTACCCCAGGACAACGACGTACTCCGCCTATGTGGTGATAGATCACATCCCACCTTTACAAACAAGACATGGCCCGGACCTTGGGGGACCGCACCCCCGCT